ACACACACACACACACACACACACACACACACACACACACACACACACACACACTGCCGTCACTTTGCGTGATTCTTCCTCCTCCTCCTCCTCTTCCTCCTCCAGCCCCGCGCGCACGTGACGCACGCGTCGGGAGCGCACAGAGGGCGCACGGGTGTCAGTTGGCTCCAGCAGCCCTCCTCCTCAGCCGTCGCTCCTCCGCTCCTGCTTTTTTTTTTCTTTTTTCGGTTTTTTTCTTTCTTTTTTTTCTTTCCTCCTCCTCTCCGTCAGTTGGGCGCGCGGCGGCGTCTCGCGGAGCAGGAATTTGGGGAGTGGAGCTCGGACTGTTTCTCCTGACGGGACTGAGAAGGAGTGGAGCTCCGCGGAGCTCCGGGTTTTGCAGTTTCTCTCCTGGTTTTTGTGTTTTTTGGTGATTTTTTTTCTCCTCCTGGAAGGATGTGGTCCTGGTCCTGGTCCGGCTGTCAGGAGGTCTGAGGCGCAGAGCTGCCACTTCTGGATTTCCTCTGGTTCTTGTTGGAATTTGGATTATTTTCTCCCAGGGTTGTTCTGGTTCTGGTTCTGGTTCTGCTGAGGCTGACAGGATGCCGGGGACTCTCCAGCCTCCACATCTCTCACTCTGAGACAACCTCGCTTCTTTCTGCTCTCTGGACCTAAACTCCGCGTTTTTCTCCTGTTTTGGCCGTTTTTTATATTTTAATCTCCTTCAGATTATCTGTCGAGCCACCTCCTAAGGATGCGTAGTGGATTGCTGTTGTTCCTTCTCACCCAGGTCCTGTCGGTGTCTTGTTTGGCTCAGACCGGTACGTTTGGCTCATTATTGATCCGTTCTTTGCGCCTCACCTGTTAAAGCTCCAGGAGCCCCTGGGGGGTCCGAGCTGGACCCCCAAAATCAGGGGAAACCAAACCAGAAACCAAACCTGGATGGTTTTACAGGAAATGCTGCTCAGTGTTGCAGAACAAGTGTTTACTGCTTGTTTTTATTTTTTTATTTTGAACCCGTTTTACGCGCGTTCCTGGACATTTAACGAGACATTTCCATAAATCATCCAGAGAGGAAATTAAATCTAATCCTGCCCGAGGAGGCAGGTGGATGCAGAATAATTTCTGCTTTTTATTTATTTTTATATATTTTTTTAGCTTTTATTGGTAAAATAAACAGCGCAGGTGTGAAGTTTCCGCGCAAATGTTTGCGTCATTTTAGACTTTGCGTGTTTTTTTCTGCGCATGAAGTTCTAATGTGAGATGTGTTTTTTTGGGGGGGTTTCTTTAAAACCAGAATCTTGTGTTTTTGTTCTGCCCTTTGCAGATAAATGCGGGGACCACATCGTGGTCCACGCCCCGGACTACCTGACCTCCCCGGGTTATCCCAGCGCCTACCTGTCCTCCCAGCTCTGCAGGTGGGTCATTACCGCCCCCGAGGCTGGCCAGAGGATCCTCATCAACTTCAACCCGCATTTTGATCTGGAGGACAGAGACTGCAAGTAAGAACCGACCTCACCCCTCCCTGACGCGTCTGCCCGCAAACTGCGGCCAACTGCGCCATCTGTCGGTGAAGCTGCGCGGGTTTTTTTTTTCCCGGGAAACCAGGAGAGGTTTAATGGAGTTTGATATTTGATAAACAGAGAGGCTGAGATTAGTTTTTATTTGATGGTTTTATGAGGCAGAAGCTGTTTCTCTGCAGGTTTGTTTTAATTTGATGGAGGATTTAATGAAGCTTTGATCATTTCCTCTTTTTATATCTTAATATTTTGATCTTTCTGCTGCTTTTCCTTTTGTCTTTGAATATTGCAGATTTAAAGTTGGACAATCAATTAAAAGTTGCATTATATCCATTTAAAACCTTTTTTTCTGTCTAGAGATGAGATTAGAAACGTTGATTTTTTATTTTTATTTTTAATTTTTTATTTTTTGTTCCGGTGTGTCTGATCCTGGTCCTCGAGGGTTTCCATCCTGCTTGTTTTACTTTGTTTCTCTGCTCTGACACACCTGTGACTACCTCTTCGAGTTCTGCAGAAGCCCATTTATCGTTCATTTATTCAAATCAGCTGTAGAAACATGAAAAACATGTCAAACTCAAGGTCCGAGGGCCAAATGTGGCCCGTCACCGCATTTTATGTGGCCCACGAGAGCTTCAAAGATGTATTAGTAAACCAGTTATAGTTCACTCTTTGGATTTTCAAAATAAAACAAGGAATGTAGATTTTTGTTTTTTCCAATTTAGTTTTAAAACATTGGCAAAAATAAAAGGCTATGTTTTATATTTTATTTTAATGGTTAAAGTAAAAACAAGCTTTATATTTTTGAATGGGATTAGGAATGTTTTACATTTTGAAGTGGTTATCAAGCAGCTATAAACTCTTCTTTAGTGACTTTAGTGATTTCTGGTATTAAATAAACCATATTTTATAATTGATTTAGATGAAGCAAAAATTAAGCACTGCAAAGTTTTAATTATTTCAATTTTACATTTTTACATTTAAGTTTAAAAAATAGCAAAGCAAAAAAAAGGCACGTTTTCTTTTTGCAAATTTCTTTTGAAACAGAAAAACCAAAGAACGAACCATCCACTAATTATTATTGTCTTAAAATTAGCGGCTTTAAAGCGAGCATGGACCATAAACTACATCTCCCATGATGCATGTTGATTGTTTTACCCTTGAAATGACAGCAAACACTTTGTGGAGCTGCTCAGGACTCAAAAGTAGCTGGCAGCCGGAGAAATTTAGCCCAGTTGTACTGGGAAGTGGGAATGTCCCACTTACAAGTTGTAAATTGAAGCCGGAACGCCCCTTAAGTGGGAGTTCCCTGTTGAAAAGTGGGAGAGTACAGAATTTAAGATGGCGGCCACTCACCACAACTTAGGAAAACTCTCTTACTTTTACTTTTAATAGTATTTCTGTTTTATTTCACATTGAGTCAGTTGTACATGTAGTACTTTTCGGTATTTATAAGAGGATGTGTTAAAACATTGTTTCTATGCAGGAAACACCAGGTAGAGCTCAGTTATTGTTTGTTAGTTGTGCTCAGGAACATGATGTTTTAGTAAAAAAAAAACAAAGTTAATTGCAATCATGATGCTTGTGGCCCTCAGTCTAAAACCTGCAGGATGGTGGTCCTCAAGGACTAGAATGGGAC